ATTTGTATAGCACATTTCAGCAGCAAGGCATTTCAAAGTACTTTACATAATTAAAATAAAAACAGCATGTGACAAAGATAAAGAGATTTAAAAACATAATTAAAACGTAAACAGTGAGTAAGAGAAATAAAAAGCTGAAGAACTTTAGTTGAGACGCCGTCAAGTGGGACTCCAACCCTTTGGACTTTAGTCAAAACGCTGTATGACAAGGACTCTAACCTTTCGGATTTTAGTCAAAACGCAGTTTGACAAGGACTCTAACCTCTCGGACACAAGACTTTAGCTGGTTCTAAATGCGGAATGGATTCTACCAACACTGCCGTTTGTCCTTGATTCTGTTTGTGAGTTCATGTATTTGAAGGGGCAGTCATGGAGTGGAGGATGTCTCTTTTAAGAACACCAGGGTTGCAACTTTGGGTTTTGCAAATGATGTGGTTCTCTTGACTTATTCAAGCCATGGCGTTTTGTGAGCACCGAGTTGGTCACCGGCACTGTATGAAGATTTCTGGCTGAGAATCAGTGATTCTGAGTCTGAGGTATATATATATATATATTTTTTCTCAACAGGAAAAGGTAGACTGCTAGAAGGCTCATCTATTGATCAAGTTAGGAAGTTCAAGTATCTTCCCTCTTGTTTATGGGTGATTGTAGGATGGATTAGAGATGTAATCAACAGATTGGGACTTTGTCTGCCGGCATCCTTCAGTCTGCTTTGGCAAACAAAAGCTGACCTATAAAAATAAAGCCTTCAGGTTTCCAACATATCAATGTTCCACCTCTCACCTGTGGCCATGAAGCTTGGATTGTGTTTGAACTTTATTCATAGGATGGTAATACTTTGTCTTGGGCTGTGGTTATCTTAAGCAGGCTATCATGTGAGAATTTGGCCTTGAAGTCCCTCTGACTTTGACACTTTCATTTCAGGCACAACTGAGGTGCTACAGTACTAGCTTAAATAGTAGATGGTGCTGCAGATGAAATTTGCCGGTGTGTAAAACTGGTAACAGAAGAACAGTCATAGATGAAGTGTATTCCTAATAGACATCTTACCAGATATTTTGACATCATAAGAGTCAACATTTACAAGTCTTTCAAACATTTTGAATTTTTTAGTCCCTTAGTGTTTATATTCAACCGTGTAAATACTTTATAAAAAAAAAAAAAGCCGTTCGTGGCGGATTCCTGTTCTACCTGTTTGATGAGCAATACATTTTCTTCATACCCTTTAAGTCAGATCAGGTTTTTGTCGACTCAGCCATGCTGGGAGAGACATTCAGCACTGCAGACAAAGTCCCTGACTTGCTAAAAAGTTAACTAGAAACTAATGTCAATCTGAAAGTCAATAGAAAGCCATGGAACTGTGACTCAAGTAAATTTGTGTCACAAGATTTTTCAGCGTATTTTTGCTTTAATTTTCAGTCTGATATCAAAATTCTAATTGTACCTAAATCTAGGAGAACCCGGCAAAGGCCCACAAGACCAAATAAAAGACGTCGGGTGTGGTTGCACAACTAGGAGTTTAGTGGTAACAGTTACAAGTAAGATTACGAGTCCCGTCCAATAGTGTTGACAGCAGCTGTGATAATGATGGCATGTGTGGTGGAGCCCACATGAGATGATGTTATTCTTCGGAACGGCTTTGGAAAATGTAAAATAAAAAAAAATAAAAAAAAACTGAGCTCGCTCAATGTCAGTGTTGATGTATTTGAGTTGTGTGCACCCATATTACAGCTAATTATGGGTTTGGCCTGAGGTCTCAGCGAGTTTCCTAGACAACACGTGGCATTATGAGAAGTCAAGGAGAACGTAGCTTCATCCACAATAATTAGAGGGCGTTAAGCTGTGTTGAAATCTGCAACATCTGTCAGCCCTTTACAAACACCAACAATTCATCAACTCATTGCACTTCAAAGAATCTGTTCAAGATGATGAATCAAATTATGTTTGTTGCTTTTTTAAATGTTATCTTTATGGCTATTTGGTGTTATCGTGATGTTTTGGTTATTATTGTAGATTTCTCAATGGAAAGTTTGAAGTGGGGGGAGGGGGGGGGGGGCTTGTGTTGATAAATCAAAACCTTTCTTGATGTGATTCATGGTCCAATTGTCTCAAAGGAAGAGTTTTAGTGGAGCTTTGAAAGTGGGCCCACGTGCAGCAGACCACAACCTGCTGCCACTTCTCCAAAACATCTTTGGAGTCAAGTGTTTCCTCCTACTACTTGCATCCTGAATTTCTAGGACAAAAGAAAGAAAATACATTAAAATTAAGTGACGAATGGAGAACACTGTGATGACAATTTCAGCTGCAAATAAACTTTAACTTCATCAAATATTATACCCAAGCAGTGATTCGTGATTGTGATGTTGCGTGTCGATGTTGTAACGTGGATTGCGATGTGGCATGATGATGCCGGGGGTGTTCTGTTGGAGATGACAATGCAGGCATGCAGAGTTGGGGGTTTCTGTGCCCTTTTCTCTCAAAGCAGCGGAGAGGGAACCAATTAGACGACTTAATTAGCGACCCCAACCTGTCAGATTGTTTTCCCCAGGAGCTCTGACAGACCGGGTTCAGCAGATCCACAACCAGCAGACCGTAATTTATTTTGGATCCAATGTTCCTTCAAAGGCGCAGTCTTTTACTCAGCAAGCACTGTCTGAGTAAAGACATAAGACAAAGAAATATGATGTTTTGTTAGTCCTGTAATGTCACTCAGATTCAATCTGTGGAGCTCATCCTTCCTGGGAACTGTGCATGAAAATGGTTCAACGTATAGTGCATTCTGGAATATAGAAGATTTTAATAACAGTCTCCTTTGTTTCTGCCTGCAATTCAGTGCTTTTCGTTCCTCCCGTGGCTGAGCTCAAATCTGCGTTGTTTTTTTTTTGTTTTTTTTTAACACATAAAAACCTGAAAATGTGTATGAATCCCTCTGAGACTGTAGAATAATTTGCAGAACCACACCGAGCCAATCAGGCTTTGCTTCTTTTGGGTTTGCGCATATCGAGACTGAAATTTATAACTCATTTTATTTTTGGAAAGTACCTTGTGCTCAGTCAGATTTCATGGAGAACATGAGTGAACATTAAATCTGGATTTCAAGTAGGTATTTCTAACATATACATTGAGCAAAATCATTCCACTGCTGGTCTTGCCTTTTATTGAACTCATTTTCCTTCCAGAAGGTGAACATCTGCATCAGTTTCAGGACTTCAGGTCAGCCATTCTTCCATGATTGTTCTGTACATTGCTCCATCCATCCTCTAATCAATGTGCTTCTCATATTTCTGGATATGAGAAGCATGCCCACAGCAAGATGCTACCAACAAGTTTCTCCGTGTTGATGTTGTCTCAGGAGGAGATCCAGAATTAATTTTCCACCACACCGAGCACGGTCCATTTCCTTCTACCACAAATTTGATTCCTACTTTGTGTTGTTCTGGTACATAAAATCCCAATAGAAGAGAAGCTGCGGTTTCGATGTTACAAAATGTGAAAAGAAAAAAAAAAAAATCAAGAAGAAAGATCACTTTTCTGTTTTAAGTGTGAGTGGACTGGGAGATAATGGAGTGTCAGTGATACTGTCTGCAAAGAGAGACCCCCTGAAACTGATACCCACCCTTCAGTGACTGTTTAACCAAACCAACCGAGACGTTATTAGCATTCTGGAGCTAAAATGTTTGAGCAAAAGCTAAAAATGGATCTGTCACTGTTTCCTTGTCTTCAGATGATTCATCCTTAGCCATTCTCAGCACTGTGTTATGTTTTGTTTTTTTAATGGAGCCGAGGCAAGTGGAAGCAAGCCCAGGAGGACAGGTTTGATGGGCTCCTTATAATAGTTTAAACGTTTTCTTTTCTCGTCATGCAAAATTGATGGAAAAAAAAGTCATCGGTTTTTACAGCTGAACAAGAGATAAGGTAAACATAGGTTTTCAAAAGTAAAGAGATTATGTTCCTCAATGTGTTTTAAACGATGTTGAAACTTCAATGTATGCAAAAACAATTGCTATATCATTAAACAGGACCAGTCCCATTACTGAGACAATACCACAGCGAAAAGGAGGTAAAGGAGGAGCATGGCAGTAATTTGAACTCTGGCCTTAAAGGACACAAGATAAAAACATTCCTCTGACTTGTTTTTTTCACTCAATATGAGAGTTCTATAGGTCATATCAGGTTCTCAGAAAAAAAAAAAAAAAAAAAAAAAAAAAAAAATCTGCGATCATATTGACAAGATGGTGCAAAGTGATGACACATTTGCAGAATCAGCCTGTCTAACAAGACAGGGTTCACGGGTGACTGAGGACACGTAGCTGGTCGTGCGTCTCATCGTCTTCAAGCACTGACAAAAGGCTCAGTTGCATGGTCTTGTCTTGTACGACATACAGGATCAAACTATGTTAGAGACGGACATGGTGTAATGGGAAGCAACAAGACTAGCATCTTTTATTTTAAGTACTTGTCTGAGGGTGCTACAAAAAAGTGTGAACACTAACTGAAAACAGATATTTTAGGATCAATATTGTTAAAATTTATTTTTTGTGCTAGGTTGTTAAAGTTGCACGTTTAAGTAAATTGTACTGCCTGTTTTAAGGGTGCCAGATCTCCCAAGAATATATATAAGTAAAACTAATAGACAAACCTAAATAAGTAAATACATACATTTTGCAATGTGGGAACTTTTCCCCTCTTCCCGTACATATTTTTGCATTTATAAAAAGATGCATATATGAATATATGAGAGGCGTGTGGTGGTGGGGACACACTCTTGTTATATAACCCTGAAAGAATAAGAAATTTGCTATTTTCGCATCAGGGATCGTTAAATTACTTACTGACTTGCAGTAAACACATTATTCAAAAAGTGAACCTTTCTCCTGATACGAGAGACCCATCATTCAATGCATTAGTAGTTCTTTATTTGCTCAAGCTGTGGTTTAATGGAGTAGTGGTGTAATTTATAGCTCAGCGAAGAGTCTGAAAAATGTGCTTTCTTTTTCCAGACCTTTGCTGCATCTTCACACACTTCACACGGACAGATGAGGACGTTTCAAGGGTGAGGGTGAGAAGAAGCAGGAGGTAAAAGAAGCATCACTGAGGTTCATCGCCTGCTGACAGAACAGAGACCTTGGGGTGAACCGACTCCCTTTCTCTGGAGTTTAGACATAAACACATCCAGTGTGCAGGTGGAAATACGGGTGTGTGAAAAGGGTAAATAAATGTCCCTGCCAAGGAGTTCTGAACATTTTGCAAACAATGGAATTTTTCACACAAACTCAGATTTGAACTCTGTGTGGATAAAAATAAATTCCTGCTAACAATAAAACTTGAATACTCCTCCGTGAAATATGTGATTGGAGAGTACTTTTTCAACTTCAAGTGACCGAATCAGGAACAGACTTCTGTAATCCCACTTATTAGAGTACATGAAGAAACGTTTTCTGGGATTTTAAAAAAAAAAAAAAAAAAAAAAAAAAAAAAAAGGTTTCAAATATAAAACGTCTTTCCACTTGTGGAAAATTTCAGTACAAAAATCAGAAATACTGGACATAATACTTCCATATCATATATTCCACCAGCTGGTCAGAAATCTAGGAAATGTAGATCTAGGAAATCTCTGAGCTCTCACATGTTGTCATCCTATGTAGTATCCACTAGATGGCAGCATAGGCTTGCATGATAAGTCTTCATGATTCAGAGTTGCTCTTGACCCTATTTGCTTGAGTTGAAATCAAGCAAATAGATATAAAAACAAAACAAGGTAATTGGAGACCTATTTAAAAACAAAATAATGCATAATAAATGTAAAATTCTTCCTTGGCTTTACAGCAGTCTACCTCCATCTTATATAATCTGATCATATTTTTTTTTTATATTTCCACCGGTATTTTGACCATTTCTATTTGATGTTCAGGTCCAGGGTGTGAGGGTGGAAAGGCTCCTTGCAGCCTCTATAATCTTCATCTCCCTCCAGAGATACCAGGTTCAAGTCAAAATTGTGGCCCTACCACTATAGGTTACTAACATTACTTGCAGTAAGAAGAAAGTTTAGAATTAAAATAATTTTTTAACAACAGCTGATACTCTTTTTATATTGTTTCACAATTTTTTTAAGCAAGGTTAGGTTTAGTGCTAAATGATTAAATTAAAATAATCAAATCTAAATCTGAATGACTGAATGAACTGAAATGTACATACATTCATTTTCTGTTAACATTGCTTGTGTTACAAAAGGACAAGCTTAAATGAGTTGCAACATGAGTTGATTATATTATATTATATTACATTATATTATATTATATTATATTATATTATATTATATTATATAAATAACTTTAAAAACTATCCAATTGAAAATAAATTGGATCTGTGAGGTCACCAGCAGGTGGCAATCTTCACCCAGAGAAGAAGCTTATTAGTTTTTATTTATTTATTTATTAAGTGAAAGTATAATTGTTTTAAAAATGAATTATTTCAGTATGATAAGAGCTGATTGTTTGTGTATACATCATTAACCTTAACTAGAATTTTTTTTTTTTTTATTATTTTATTTATTTATTTATTTATTTATTTCAATTTACACATCTTCCAACTTCTTTTTTTGTTCAGCTGCCTGTGTTGTTCTGTGATGGAAGCGGTGCAAAAATAAATATATCGAAAACAAGAATAAAAGATGGTGTTTACTCTCTGATCTTTCAGAATGTCGACAGCATTTACTCCTGTTATTGTTTACCATGTGGTAGTCACAGGCGCAGTTCGTGCTGCCAAGGTCCTCTTCTGATTTGAATATGATACAAAAGATGAAACGTTTGACCTCACATTGTCACTGTTAATCACTCCATGTCCTCTCATGAAAACGTCTCTGACAAACAATGCACAGTCCACACGCTGAGTTCCGGGGGAATGAAATAGCTCCATTACAAATGTCCCTGCAGAGCTGCAGAGCAGGAAGTTCAGAGGCGCCCTGATTGATGTACCACTGTATGAAAAAAAACATTGACAGCAATAGCCCGCATTCCTCATCGGGTTCGGCAGTGTCAGCTTCCTTTTCTCTCCATCCTTCATCTGCTCACCGCCCCGTCCCCTCCACGATGAAAGTCGAACAAATCTGCTGACATTGATCCTGTCTCCTCGGCCGGGCTAATTTCATTCCAGCCGGAGAGAGACGGCTATCTCCACAGATCTTGACAGACAATTGTATTTACTATTTTCTTTTCACAAGCCAATAAAGGGGGAGCAGTTATTGCATCAGATTATATGAAAAACCGTTTAATGATTCCAATTTATAACTCTAGACTGAATAATGATACAGTTAAGAGCTGACAGGCCATGATAAATGAAGGCTCATATAAAACATATTTAGAGTGAAGAATGGCTGGAGATGAATTGCGCTGTGAAACAAACTCATGATAAAGAACAGTAAGAGCCACTAGAAGACTTAATAATGTGCTATTCATTTTGAAGTGATTTTGCTGGTTAGTAAAGGAGCACAAATTAAAAATATATTTATTGTAGAAAGATGTCTCAGAATATTACCCCCATGACGCTGCCACCCATGGCTAATCTAATCAGGGCCCATCTCTTTAGATTGAACCTTTCAACTCCTCATCTTTTTTTCACTCCTTGACTGCAGACTTGGTGCTTTTCAATACACATTAGCAGCTTGATGTACATACAGTACGATCGTTTTCGGTAGAATACATTACAGTGATGGGGACTCAAGTCACGACTTGGGCACAAGTCGCATTTAATTCATAAAAACAAGGCCTTCAGACTTCACTTTCAGTTGCGATCTAAAGATTTTCTTGGACTTTAATGGACGGTTTTCACGGACGATCTTTATCTAGTTTATCAAACTGGAAAGTAACCCAATAACTGTAGATCTATTTGAGTATATACTGATAGTGTTGCACAAAGTTTCGAGGCATTCCGCTAATCATTTGCTGTACGAGAAGCAAATTAACTTACCATCCACTCTAAGTTTGCCTGTTTTTCTTTTATGCAACCATCAAGAAACATTTGCAGGAAGTGCTATGATAAAGATCCATATATTTTCCATCTTAAGAGTGTGCTGGATTTACTGAAAAGAAACATTCGCAGACTGTAGGCTATCAGTGGTTGGTAATGAGGCTTGCTTGTTGTACTATTATATTTTTGACCATAAACTGAAGTGCTTATGAATAACTTAGGTCGTTTTCTGATCAAAATAAATTTACATCACACAACAAAAGAGCTTTAGGTCTGCCTTAAATGGAACGTAGTTCACTTTCTGGGAAAGTCTGTCTCATTTGGATGTGTAAAAGATTATGGATGCTGGTAAAGTCCAAACACACAGACTCCTAGAAACATGGATCTTGATTGCCTGCAACTGAATCTGGATGTGGTTTGGTTATAAGAGCAAAAGTAAACAGAACATCTAACAAACCAAAGCAAGAAAATCAACCTGTTGTGTCTCTCTCGTGTATACAGCTGGGTATTAGTGCTTCGTTTAAGGCTCACACTGGGGAACTTCTTGTGAAAAATTATTTAGGTTAGAACAAATCAGGACTGACAACCCTGCAGGCCTCTAGTCACTGATACTCATGGACACAATTCTAATTAAATGCACATATTATGGTAAAAACAATTATGAGTCTTTTAATAATTACAACTATGGTAAAATGAAAGTACAGCCTGAAGCCATAATCTAATGACGCCCGTTAATGTGAATACCTTGCTCTATTTTAAATTTAACAAAGCTTTTACTTAAATGTTTTTGACCCAATGACATGACATTTTGCACAGAATTAAATATGAACAATAAATTAGTTATTATATGCATAGCTCACTTTATGATGGCACAGTTGGTAGCACTGTTGCCTTGCAGCAAGAAGGTCCTGGGTTTGATTCCCAGCCCAGGATCTTTCTGCATGGAGTTTGCACAAGTCCATGCAGAACTTGTGCAAACTGTTGCTTTGTGTTGACAGCACTGTTGCAGTTGGTAGCAACAGTGCTGCTGTTGTCACTGTGCAGCCCATAAAGTGATCTATTATATGCAATAGATCACTTTTGATCTATTGCATATAATAGTGATATATAATAGTGATCTATTATATGCATAGATCACTTTACAGGCTGCACAGTGGTGCAGTTGGTAGGACTGTTGCCCTGCAGCAAGAAGGTCCTGGGGTCAATTCCCAGCCTGGGATCCTTCTGCATGGAGCTTGCATGTTCTCCCTGTGCATGGTGGGTTCTCTTTGGGTACTCTGGCTTCTTCCCACAGTCCAAAAACATGACTGTCAGGTTAAGTGTGTGTGTATGGTTGTTTGTCCTGTGGTGCCCTGTGACAGTGCTTCTTGCCTGAAATGTTTGCTACCTCTACTATTACTATTCAGTGATTTGGAGGCAATATATGTCCAGCTCCAACCTTTTTTGTTGTCGGATCCTTCCTCTCCAGTTGGAGTCACTGAACAAAACGGGTCAAAAAATAAATAAATAGGGTTGCAGTCCTTCTCCCTCTAAAACCCTGCAAGAGGAAACAGTAATAGATCTGATTATTTTTACATCAAAAACCTAGACGTATTATTAAACCACGTTTCCTATCATAGCTGAATGATAAAAAAACACTTAAATGGAAAACACAATACTTATTAATGATTTAGTGATATAAAAGATTTAGGAAATATTAAATTGTCACCTTGTTATAACTGAAAAGGCAACTTTTGAAGAGAAAGACAATCTCTAATGAAATTACTCCAGTGCATCACACTGCAGTAATTGTGAAAACAGAATAATGGTCAAAGCTTAAATACTGTAATAAATTAGCTCAATGCATATACAGCTTAACAATTTTCATTTTTAGAACCTGTTTCTTTCCAATGTCATTGTCCTTTATCCCATTTGGTCACACAACTCTTTTCAACTAATACCTCTAGTTGAGTGACTGCAAATATTTCATGGACCTCAATAACATTTCAACAATTAGAAAATATATATATATATAAACATTTCCACAAAGTCTTTTTTTTCCTATTAATGAGAGGTATCTCCACCTTTCTGTTTGCTTCATTGGGGATCAGTTATGAGAGAGGATTGCTGGTTCCCTACAAAAGCTACAGACACATTTGCACATCTCTGAAGCCATTTTACCCACTACTATTTTACATAATATTGTTCATCTGCCTAATACTTTGTGCATTATACTGTACCTTTAGGCTCCTCGGACACAAATTCAGTTTCTTCCACTGTCACCATTTTAGTTTCTTTTTATTGTCTTTCCAAACTGGAAAGGAAATTTGAATCCAGAAAAATGCCATTTCTCTTTTTTTAATTGGATCAAAGAATAAACTGTTCTTGGGTCAGTATTAACTTGCATGTATTGCTCAACCCTGCCAGACATTGCTCAATTAAGAGAAATTATTTTGATTGATTGCCACTGAAATAGCCTTATAAAAAAAAAAAAAAACAGTGCATTGTTCAACGCTGTTTGCTTCATTCAGAAGGCCTGGGCTCTCAGCTATGGAAAAACTCTGTAGAAGTTTTAAATTTTAACGAATTG